TTTCACAGAGTTTAACTCCGTGAAACAACGCTTGATGTGAGGACGTGCAGCGTTTTCTAAACCCTCATAGGAAAGCATTGATTCTAATGCGTGAATGGCGCTCCCCACGCAAGCACATTTGGTTCCCTCTCGCGATGACGTCGGTGGCGGAGCCAGTCCAGAGGGATCTCTGCACAGGAATAAGTTACGTGAAAAAAAATATATTAGCCAGGGGGTGTGTAGCTGGGGAAGATGTACACTACAGGTGATACCTGTTTTACGACGTCTCGCACTTACGACCAGCTCTCTCACGGGGTGGTAAGTGCGAGCCGTTGTGGGAAATAGAGGGATTCCCTGATCTGCTGTGTTCATCTATGTTTGGGGACATTTCCTGGAACATAGACGAATGCAACAGAGCAGGGAATCCCTCTATTCCATGTTCAGGAAATTTACCCGAGCATTGATTAGAGGGATTCCCTGTTCTTGTGCATTCATCTATGTTCGGGGAAATGTCCCTGAACACAGACATGCGCACCAGAGCAGGCAATCCCTAAATCTATGTTCGGGGAAATTTGCCCGCACATAGATTAGAGGGATTCCCTGCTCTGGTGCGGTTTTCAATGTTTGGGGAAAATCCCTTAACTAATCACTTACTGACCAATTCGTTCTACGACCAGGTCGTAGGAACGTAACCTGGTCGGTAAGTGAGGAGTACAGTGTTAGTATACAGCTTTAGTGTCCATTTAAGTGTGTGACACTTTGTAGGGTATTTTCATCCTTTGCATCCCATCAATCGGATTGTTTCATCCCCTTTCAGTATCACAGAATCGAGTTTCTGAGTGTGAAATGCCTATATAGTTTTGCAGTCATGGTTAGTGTCATTTCGGCTGGTTGTGTGTTGCGTTTGAGCAGTTGCTCGCAGTTCTGTTTTTGTCATGACTTGGATCCAGTTTAAAACCAGTAATTTCAGATTCCAGTTACTGGAAACAGAACGGCATATTTCCCTTGCACCTTTTTGGTTCCAAAATAAAGCTCAGCTAGATATGCTGGAACAGCAAGCCTAGATTAACCCCTTACTGACCAGACCGCTTTTTAAAATTTCTTACTGTTTGGGACCAGGGCTGTTTTTACATGTCTGCGGTGTTTGTATTTAGCTGTAATTGTCCTCTTACTCATTTACTGTACCCACACATATTATATACCGTCTGTCTCGCCATTAAGTGGTCGTTCCAAAGATACCATTATTTTCATCATATCATATAATATTCTATAAAAAAAATGACAAAATTAAAAAAAAACTACTTTTCTAACTTTGACCCCCAAAATCTGTTATGCATCTACAACTGCCAAATAACACCCGTGCTAAATAGTTTCAAAATTTTGTCCTGAGTTTAGAAATACCCAATGTTAACATGTTCTTAGCTTTTTTTTTGGAAGTTATTGGGCAATAAGTACAAGTAGCACTTTGTTATTTCCAAACCATTTTTTTTTCCCCAAAATTAACAAAAGTTACATTGCAACACTGATATTTGTCAGGAATCTCTGAATAACCCTTCACATGTATTTATATTTTTCAAAAGAAGACAACCTAAGGTATTAAACCTGGGGTATTTTGACTCTTTTCATGCAACCATTTTACCACCAATCTATGCCAAATTAAAAAAATAATAATAATTGGTGTTTTTATTTTACACACATAGCAATTTAAGAATACATGTACTGAGAACTTCAAGGGTTACTGCCGAAGAACACCCCAATATGTGTTCAGCAACATCTCCTGAGTACAGTGATACCCCCTATGTATAGGTGTGTCAGGTTCTCTGGAGGCTAAAAAACCTTATTTGGAGGGTGCACATTCCAATTTTCCAACATGGAATTTTCAGATCTGGTCATCATGCACCCATGTCCAATTTGGACATTTTTGAAGCCGGCCAATGTAATTTACCCCCATCAAACCATATATTTTTGAAATGTAGACACCCTAGGGAATTTCAAATGGTGGTATTTTAAAATGTTCTATGCACTAATTCTACCACCAGTCTTAGTCAAACTTTTGGGTAGTCATTTATTTGTGTTATTTTTTTCTCACGTTGTACTTCAGGCATGGATTCTCAGTTCCTGTGAAGTGTTACTGACAAAGAACACTAAAATATGTGTTCAGCAACATCTCCTGACTATTACAGTACCCCCAATGTACAGGTTTTATGTGTTTTTGCAAACTTGCAGGGGTCAAATGTAGGACTTATCCCTTTTCCATGTTTTCACATTAAAATTTGCCAGATTGGTTTGCTGGGCCTATGTTGCCTTTAAGACTGTATGGCAGCCCAGAAATGAAAATTAACCCCACCATAACATACCATAACATATTTGAAAAAGTTGACAACCCAGGGTATTCAAAATGGGGTATGGTCCAGTCTTTTGTAGTAGCCCATTAGCCACAGACGCTTGCCAAAGTTAACGTTCATATTTGTTTTTTGCATTTTTTTTTTTACACAAAAACGGCAATTTTACTAGTGATATTATCGTTGTGATAAGTTTTACTTTTTAAAAAACTCTCATATTTGTGTTCAGAAAAGTTTCCAGAGTATAACAATACCCCCCATGTAAAGGTTTTATGGTGTTTTGGAAAGTTACAGGGTTAAATATAGGGCTTACCAATTAAATTCTCTGGACTGTATGCCTAGGTTGTCAGGCAGGTCCCTCAAATTATAATTAATAAAATCAAATAATTATGTACTTCTTAGTTGAATATATATGTAGAGTGTGTGTGTTTGTGTATGTATGTGTGTGTGTGTATATATTTAAATAAAAAAAATTGTAATTATATACACATATATATATATATAATAATGTGTGTGTATACACACACTTTTATTTCCTATAATGTATAATATATTATACATATAAAATACATATATATGATTTCATAAGTGTATTTTGAGATGTATGTGTATATATTTCAAAGTACACTTATAATAAAATCATATATATGTATAATATATTATAAAATACTTTTTAGCAGCCTGGTGGACTGCCTGACAGCTCAGACAGTCCCCCTGCAGGCAGCTCCACAGACTCCTATTGCGGCCATGTGATCATGGTGATCAAATGGCCCTGGAGGACTGGGGTGGCTGGAGCTGCTGCAGGGGGACTGCTTGGGTCTCGGGCAGTTCCCACTGACCGTGATCGCCGCAGATCCTTAAGACAGAGTTTTGTCAGATGTACCTAGTACGTCTGCAGTCGTTAAGGGGATATATGTATTTATAATGTAATTCTAAATGTATTTTGATTTAAATATAAATATATATATATATATATATATATATATATATATATATATATATATATATCAAAATACAGTTAGAACAAATTGAAACCATTATGTAATTTATAAAAAAAATGTAATTTTATTTTTATTTAACATAATTCTAAGTGTATTTTAATATTAATATATATATATATATATATATATATATATATATATATATTTATATATAATTATATATTAAAAAATTATCACACTTTAAAAGTACATACACTCAGTGGCGTACTGCGGGGGGGGGGGCGGTCCGCCCCGGGTGCCAGCAGGGTGGGGGGTGCCATGGCCAGCCCCGCCACCCCCCCCTCATGCTGCAGCCGCCCGAGCGCTCTGTAGAGAGCCTCAGGCGGCTGCAGCTTTGCCCGGGCGGTGCGTCCATGAGGGCGGACCGCACCGCCCGGGCGCAGCCAGAGAAAGGGGGCTGACAGGAGGGAAGCGCTCCTGTCAGCTCCCTCACTGCAGCATGGTCCGACGGGTACAGAGAGCAGCTGTCTCCTGTACCCGGCCGGACTAACAGGAAGTGCACACAGTGTGTGCACTTCCTGTTAGTCCGGCTGGGTACAGGAAACAAAAGCTACCTGTACCCGCGGACTATACAGGGCTCGGCCACGCTACAGGGAGGTAGGGGGAGAGGGGGGGTGAGAAAAGAGGAAAGGAGGGGGGTGGAGAGGAGAAATTAGGAGGGGGTGTATATTAATTATTGGGGTGTACACTATGGGGGTGTATTAATTATGGGGGGAAGTATATTAATTATGAAAATAATAATGGGGTGTATCAATTATGTAAAGTGGATTAATTATGGGGGGTGGATTAATTATGGGGGTATTAATTATGGGGTGACTAATTATGGGGTGTGCTTAATTATGGGGAGTATTAATTATGGGGAGTATTAAATATGGGGTGGAGTATTAATTATGGGGGTATATAAACAAGTGAAGTGTATTAATTATGGGGGAGGTCAATTATGGGGGTGGTATATTAATTATAGGGGGTGTATTAATTATGGGGGGTATATATTAATTATGGGGGTGTATTAATTATGGGGGAGTATTAATTATGGGGGTGGTGTATATTAATTATGGGTGGTGAATTAATTATGGGGTTTGTATTAATTATGGGGGTGTGGATTAATTATGGGGGGTGGATTAATTAGTGTGGATTAATTAAGGGTGTGTGTATCAATTAAGGGGGGTGGATTAATTAAGGGTGTGTGGATGAATTAGTGCGGTTTAATTAAGGGGTATGGATTAATTAAGGGGTATGGTTTAATTAAGGAGTGTGGATTAATTAAAGAAAACCTTTAACATTTTTTACAGGTTTGTTTTTTTTTGTTTTTTTTGGGTGGGGGGGTGCCACGCACAGGATCCGCCCTAGGTGCCAAATGCTCTAGGTACGCCCCTGCATACACTTTATAACTAAGTGCACTATATGCACTTTCATACTGTACAATTAAGAGACTTTAAAATAGTTTTGTCTGGGGTATTATGGACACCCAAAACTGTATATATGTACCTAGTTACAGGCTATCATATCACTTTGCTAATCCAATATAAATCTACTTTATCACTTGCTTTTATAATATTTAAGCTCATTTGAAGTTAACTCACCACATGTTAATATTTTTAGTCACTTTTTGCACACTTTCGGCTTTAGGACTGCATGTGGTTCACTACATGAAGGATTATAAATGCGGTAACCACTGAGATGATTGCCGCGTTGCCATGACAACAGCAGCACATGTCGTCATCACGTGATTTGTGCGACATCACGGTGGAGGCAAGACCACACGGGAGCATGCGCAGTCCGCACACAAGGGCGACGAGAGCAACACCATTCACCTGGGAGTAAGTAACTTTTTCTAATGAACACTGCTGTATATTCTGGCAATGTTTTATTTGTAATTGTATATATTGATCCTGAAGAAAGTCCGTGAGAGGACTGATTTAAGGATTATCATGTTTGAATAAAGGAACTTTAATACTGAAGACCGTGAGTGCAGCCAACATTTATGCTTTTACTTGTATATATAATTATATACATATATTAATATCATAGGCGTGTGCCTGGGCACACCCTTATCCCCGCGGTCCGCACTATGTGCCTCCCTCCATGGTCTGGTGAGGAGATCAAAGATCTCCCTCACCTGCCCACAGCAGCATGGAGGGAGGCAGGAGAGGACCCGGGGAGCTCTAGCCAGCAGCTCCGCCGGGTTCCTCTCGCGAGGTCGGAGCGTTGCCACGGACCACTAGACCACCAGGGATGGCAGCAGCACGGTCCCCCCTCCCTATAAAAAGGTAAGAAGGGAGGGGGGCTATTAACTAAATGCTCCCTCCACCCCCACCTCACACAATACACACAAACAGCACCCACACACACACACAGCACACACACACATACATCAACCTTACACACACAGCACATGCACACACACTATCAGCACCCTCACACACAGCACCCTTACACATACACACACACAGCACACACTAACAGCACCATTACACACAGAGCACCCTCACACACACAGCACCCTTACACACACACACACACACACTAACAGTACCCTCACACAAACAGCACCCTTACACACACACACCACCCTCACAAACAGAGCACCCTCACACACAGCATTCTTACACACACACACTCACACACACAGTACCCTCACACACACATCACCCTAACACACACACACACACACACACACAACCCTCACAAACACACAGCACCCTTACACTCACACAGCGTCCTCACACATACAGCACCCTCACACGCACAGCGCCCTCAGATACACAGCGCGCACACAAAGCGTCCACACACACACACAGCACCCTCACACACACACAGCAGTGTGTGTGTGTATGTGTGTATATATATATATATATGTGCGGCTTGTGTGTTTGTGCTTTAGGGTGCACACCCTTATGCAATAGGCTGTGCAAGCCTATGATTAATATTAAAATACACTTAGAATAATGGATTGTGTATGTGTATATAAAAGTACCTAGATTATATATATCATCTAAGTACTTTTATTAAATTTATTAAACTTTTTAATAACTTTTATTGACTTTCTAAACTTTTTTGCAGGCACGAGGGGGACAGACTGACCCCTTGCAGGCACTGCACAAGCTGGCTATTCCGGCCATGTGATTGCGAGGAGGGCCGGATCAGCCGCAGAGGGACTGCCAGGGATGCCAGGCAAGTCCCCACATCGCGATCGTTGGCGGGTGATCGCCATCGATCAGGTATGTGCATATGTCCCGCAGACGTACCAGGTACGTCCCCGGTCGGGAAGGGGTTAAACTACTCTATCCTCAATTATTTATATAGTTCCAACATCTTCTGCAGTGCTGTACAATAGGTAAAAAAAAACAGACACAAGTTCTAACAATACATTGTTTAAACAGTAGGCCAAGAGGGCCCAGCCCAAGTGACATCACAATCTAGAATTGTATGTTTCTGATGTATATTTTGGTCCACCATTAAATATCTATCCAGATCTTCATTTTAGAAGATATTATGGCAGCATCCCCATTGTTTTAGTTTCCTGCTCATGATATAGTAATCTCTCAGCAGTTGGCCAGTAGAAAATCTACGTTTTAATCAACTTTACTTACATCTGATACTAAATTATCTCTGTGCCTGCTGTATAATGACAGCCCTAATCTGATGAATACATGCTCCTGTTTATGACATTCATTAGCCTGTAGGGACTGATCTAAAGTGATCTTAGTTCATCCATATCATTTTTCATTCCCAACGTGGTTTGCATGTAGCTTTACACACAGTCTATTCTGCGTCTCTCTGGGAGAGTCAGGGAAACGGTATGTTCAGTTAACCCATCACATTAAATCTATGTTGGAGAATTGTTTCAAACTCTGTTCTTGTTGCCTTAAATGAAACACTATATTCATTTAGATTCAGCCCCTTTCATTATTTAAAATAAATAAATACATTTTATAACTAGAAAAGCTACAATTTCTGGGGAAATTGTGTGAAGTGTTCTTGCCTCCACCAGTAGTCTACAACTGGAGTGGGCGGAGTAACTGTTATTATTTATATAGCACATTTAATTGCAACGTTGTTGCACAGTTACATTAAACCATACATTTATAAAAACATTAGCAGGTGTTCAAAAGGCCCTGTCTATGACATGACTTGCTGCTGCAGCTTGACACAGGTCAGAGTATTTTGGCGGTTGCCATCTTCAAACGGTCGTATTTTAAAAACTATAAATCCTACAGCGAAGAGCTTTATATTGTGAGAATCACAAGACCCAGACCTACATTTTGATGCATAGTATGTCTCTGAAATATTATAAATGAAGGCACAGTCGCAGTTTAGAAATTGCCCTTCAAATTTGAGCTGGCTAGAGTGAAGTTTCAATGAATGTCAATGGATGGCGTGAGTTGCAAACAAATTGTCATATTGTGAAAACTATCAGGACTATGGCTTAGCCGTGGACATGTTTAGTGGCAGCAGGGATATCTGAACGTTTTGATATAAGATTTGTGTAGGTGGGCTTGAAAATGAGGGAGTGGTGGCAGTTTAGAAATCATGTCCTGATTTTTCAGCTTTTGCCAGCTCCCACTCTAGTTTTGAACATTTTGCCATTCATTCCTATGGGACCAATTTCACCAGAAGAATGACGATATTCCGTGAACCATTCGGCGAAACGTTCCACAAAGTAATAGCAATCCAATCGGGAACAATCCGCACGTTTTGGTATATTACTGTCTATGTAGTGTAAAAACTATGGGAGGAGTTAGGGTGGTAAATTTGGCTATAATAATAACTAGAAAAGCTACAATTTCTGGGGAAATTGTGTGAAGTGTTCTTGCCTCCACCAGTAGTCTACAACTGGAGTGGGCGGAGTAACTGTTATCATTTATATAGCACATTTAATTGCAACGTTGTTGCACAGTTACATTAAACCATACATTTATAAAAACATTAGCAGGTGTTCAAAAGGCCCTGTCTATGACATCACTTGCTGCTGCAGCCTTGACACAGGTCAGAGTATTTTGGCGGTTGCCATCTTCAAACGGTCGTATTTTAAAAACTATAAATCCTACAGCGAAGAGCTTTATATTGTGAGAATCACAAGACCCAGACCTACATTTTGATGCATAGTATGTCTCTGAAGTATTACAAATGAAGGCACAGTCGCAGTTTAGAAATTGCACTTCAAATTTGAGCTTTGTAGAGTGAAGTTTCAATGAATGTCAATGGACGGCGTTAGTTGCAAACAAATGATTATATTGTGAAAACTATCAGGACTATGGCTTAGCCGTTGACATGTTTAGTGGCAGCAGGGATAGCTGAACGTTTTGATATAAGATTTGTGTAGGTGGGCCTGAAAATAAGGGAGTGGTGGCAGTTTAGAAATCATGTCCTGATTTTTCAGCTTTTGCCAGCTCCCACTCTAGCTTTGCCATTCATTCCTATGGGACAAATTTCGCCACAAGAACGACGATATTCCGTGAACCATTCGGCGAAACGTTCCACAAAGTAATAGCAATCCGATCGGGAACAATCTGCACGTTTTGGTAAATTTTTGTCTATGTAGTGTAAAAACTGTGGGAGGAGATAGGGTGGCAAATTTGGCTATAATAAGAATAATAATATATATGTGAGATAACAATAAGTGGTCTTGCTATGCAAGAACACTTAAATATATATGTGAGATAACATTAAGTGGTCTTGCTATGCAAGAACACTTAATAATATATATGTGAGATAACATTAAGTGGTCTTGCTATGCAAGAACACTTAATATATTTGTGCTCGGAATCTCTATTATGTTAATGGAATATAGAGGAGGAGCAAAGTTGGTTAAGGTGTGCCGAAACCAACGTACGAGTAGGCCTGTAAAAAAAAGGGCCAACAAAGAGAAATGTGTAAAGGAAGGTGAAGGTGGGTGGGGTCAAAACAGCTTGAACGGCAAAGGTAAGTAGGGGGGTAGGGTTTATATAGGGTCATAACTCCTCCCACAAATTCAGGCCAATTGGTCTTCCAACTTGTGCTCAGAATCTCTATTATTGTCACGATTCGAGGAACCAAACACAAAGTGCTGTGCCGGACCTTAGAGTGGCCGGGCTAAGCACACAAAGAATAGTCAGGAAACAAGCCGAGTAAAGGGGAACCAGAAGACAGAATAACGATAGACAAGCCGAGGTTAAAGGGTAGGAGAAAGTCACAAAGTCGGATAAACAAGCCAGAGAGTACGTAACCAGAAACACAAGTTCAGTAGTAATACTAGCAAGTAAAGACCACAACAGGGCAGAGAGGAACAGGAAAGGTAAGTATTTAAATCCATAGGTTAATTCTGATTGGATAATTTACAATCAGAATTAACAATCACACGTGGGAGATATCTAAACCTCCCACTGTGATTGAAGCACTGTGCCTTTAACGCCGGGTCAGGTGACTGACCCCGGCGTTTGTTAAAATGGGCGGTCTCCCAGCGTGCAGCATCATGCATGCTGCCGCTGGGGGACACAGAGGAAGACGCGGGCAGCATCCGTGGCTGGGAGGATGCCGCCTGCCGAGCGCACGCCAGGAAGGGGACCGCGGTCGGCTGGAGGGTGAGTGCCGCGAGCAGACTGCAGCCTCTCCTCGCAGCCGCCCGCGGGACCCTGACAGTACTCCTCCATCGAAGACTGCCCGGAGGGTGGGAAGCAGAAGGCTTCTAAGGAAACCGGGCATGAAAGGAACGGACCAAAGAGGGGGCGTGCAAATCAGAGTTCGAAACCCATGACCGCTCCTCAGGGCCGTAACCCTTCCAATCCACCAGGTATTGCAGCCGACCCCTAGAAACACGAGAGTCGAGAAGGGCAGCCACTTCGTACACGTCACTAGAGACAGTGCGACGGGAAACGGGCCGTCCGAGGGGACGAGAGAACCGGTTACACAGTAAGGGCTTCAAAAACGAAACGTGAAACGTGTGCGGAATACGCATGGAAGGAGGCAAGTCCAGGGAGTAGGAAACGGGGTTAATCCTACGTAACACTTTGTAGGGACCAAGAAACCTGGGAGCAAACTTCATCGAGGGAACCCTGAGACGGAGGTTCCTGGAGGACAACCACACCCTATCACCCGGAGCATAAGAAGGGGCTGCACCCCTACGGCGATCAGCGAACTTCTTCTAAACAGTTGCTGAACTAGACAGTGCAATATGGACCTGATCCCACGTCTTCCGCAAAGAGGCGAGGTGCTGGTCCAAGGCGGGCATTCCCTTGTCAGAGAACTCACCGGGAAGGACAGAAGGCCGAAACCCATAAGCAACCTCAAAAGGACTTAAGCCAGTAGATGAATGAGACACCGTATTCCTGGCAAATTCAGCCCACGGAAGAAGGCGAGACCAGTCGTCCTGGTGCGCTTTAGTGAAGCACCGCAAATACAATTCCACAGACTGATTAGCACGTTCGGCTGCACCATTAGATTGCGGGTGATAGGAGGAAGTGAACGACAAGGAGACCCCCATCTCAGCACAAAAGCCCCTCCAAAACCGAGAGACAAATTGAGGGCCCGTGTCAGAAACGATATCCTGAGGTACCCCATGCAAGCGGAACACTTCCTTGGCAAACACCTGAGCAAGCTGAATCGCAGAAGGCAGTTTCTTAAGCGGAATAAAGTGTGCCATTTTAGAGAACCTATCCGTCACAGTCAATATCACCGTCTGACCATCAGAAGGAGGAAGGTCTACAATAAAATCCATGGACAAGTGGGTCCATGGTTTCTTGGGTACAGATAGAGGCATCAGTAGACCCTGGGGTCTCATATTAGGAGACTTACACTGCGTACAGACCCGACAAGCCTGAACAAAATCCACTACGTCTCGCTTGAGTGAAGGCCACCAGAACTGTTGAAGGAGGCTCTTATAAGTCTTGGTAACCCACGGATGACCAGCAGTTTTGGCGGTGTGAAATAAAGTTAACAACTTTTTTCTGTCATTTACTTTCACGTATAGTTTACCAACAGGCGTCTCAGGTGGTGCTTGGGTTTGGTATGACTTAATATTCTCAAGGAAAGGAGACAAATCAACCAAACGGGTAGCAGCTATTATCTGAGACGCAGGTACAATAGGTTCAGGAGTCGGGTTAACAAATTCTAAAGGTTCATACTGTCGAGAGATAGTGTCAGCTTTGGCATTACGGCAACCAGGTCTATAGGTAATAAT